GGTCTTGTGTCTGGTCTTGTGTCTGGTCTTGTGTCTGGTCAGGTGCATGTTCTTCAGCATGGTCTTCAGCATGGTTTTGTGCCTGGTCTTGGTCTGAGTCTTGTGTCTGGTCTTGTGTCTGGTCTTGTGTCTGGTCTTGAGTCTGGTCTTGTGCATGGTCTTGGGTCTGGTCTTGTGTCTGGTCTTGTGTCTGGTTTGGTGCATGGTCCTGAACCCTCATGAGTTCCATAGGCAGGGCCCTCTTGATGAACCATTTCTTTGGGGTTGCCAGTGCTGAGGAGAGGGGCACTCTGTTTTAGGTTCAGTAGCATTTTAGCCATGGGGACAGTGACCAACATCTTGATTGAAAATTTGAACCAATTTGACCTAGTAGAGTTTACAATGCATGCACATGGTACGTTGTTGGCAGCCATCATAAAATATTGGCATCTCTAAGCAAGTGACACACCTGTAGATTTTCCTTCCTCAAATAAACCATCAGAACAAGAAGAAAAAGGCTCAAGAATTCTGGCCCAAGATGTGGTGGAGATCATTTTTTCTTGATTGACATTCCAACTGAAGGAGCAGCCATTGCCTGCAGCCAACAAGAGGAATAAATCAAGCTAAGGGGTGATGAACTCCTGGGAGGTATCAGTGATGCCACGGAGGATGATGGTTGTCCAAAATCTTGTGATAATTCACGGAGATCAGATAAGATTTTCGAACTTGGAGTAAGGTTAATTGGCATTACTACGGCAGATTCAATCAACAAAACATCGGGTGACAACTGGTAAAGCTCTGCGAAGTGAGGCACTGCTAATTCCTAGTTACTGCACTAGCCACAAGAAGACTGATCACAGGCAAGACGTGATCCAGACCAATGTCCTACATGTACAGTGTAAGTAGGATCATCCAGGGGGAGCTACGGACTATACTTTCTGTAGAGGCCAATCCAATTATCCATTGCTGTAACAAATGAGGCCTTTACAGACAAAAGCCTCTGTTTGAAACAGGGTCCAAAATACATAATGGTATTACCTGATCAAGAAATGTTGATATGATCTTTTGTCCTTTTTGATAAAACTTTGTGCAGTGAATGTACATGTAATAACGTTTTAAAGTTGATTTTTTCCCACTGGAAAGAAATTAAAAATAAAAATTGCAAAAAGATGTACCAACTCCGATTCAAACAAATCCACAATATTAATCTTTCTCCTTTTTCTTACATGTACGTGCTAACAACCCAAAATAATGACATTCAAGGTGTTATGTACAGTACATGTACATGTACCTTGGGTGAATATGTATTTCAGCCCGGTTCTACAGGGGCTGTTCTCTGTAAAAGCCTCGGACTGGGTGCTCTCTTAAAAACATTTTGGTGGAGTTTGCCCTCTTCGGTGAACCCAAGAGCGGGCCCAAGAGAATGCCAAACTTTCCCAAGAGTGCTGGTACCTTTGATGGGTATGACACTTCACTGATTTACAAATGATTTTATCTTCAGGCAGACTTGATTTCTAAGTTCTCATCGGTCTTTTCACAGCAACAAACAGTGTGATACATGTACATGTACACTGCATTGCATAGTTCATATTAAACCCAGCGTAATGCGCAAAGTCAATGCATTGCACTATTTTTATGCTAAAAGCAATCACACATCTGCATGTCTGTAAGTTCAAAAATAGTGTGTTATTCCCTCGTGTTGATCATCACAGATGTTTAAATGTGTGTACAATTCTAACAATTTCCTTTCTTAGTCATGTTAGTGTGGGCCCTGTTGTTATTGAAATCTGTTTAAGTTAAAACACAAATACAGTAATTTCCATGCTCCCTAGATAAAATCACAGTATTGTGGTACATCAGTGTTACTGTTTGTGCGCCATACGATATATTTTGTCTTTCTTTATGAACAGGGGTCACACTTACAGGTTACCAAAGGTGGGAGGTGAAAGGTCGGAGGCTAGAGATTAAAGTGGACAACTGTGGTTAAATACACTGCATAAAGCACTCAAAGGCCCCTTTTCTTTACAGCGCATCAAGTTAGCTTGAAGATTCAATCTTATGCCCATGGAACAAGGAATAATGTACTGTAGTGTACATGTACATGTACATGTACATGTACCGTACATGTACATGTATTTGTGTTCCACTCGGCCTTCAGCCTCGTGGCATCCGTTTAAGCCAACAGAGCAGTGGAGGGCACTGTTAACATTTCAAATCATAGAAATGTAAACAAATAGCTGTTCCACTAATGATAAGGTATTTCTTATGGGGCAGCGCAGACATCCAGGAGTTTTACAAAAATACGGGTAGCAACCACACCACGGCCGGTGAAAACAACTGGGACGAGTGCAATCTTACTGTACATACAGATCAAAGACAGATTGTATAACAAAATCCTCGGACTGGCTGGTGCGTGTGTACGTTGCCATGGTCGCTGTTTTTACCGGCACAGTACCTGTCATTTTGTGAGAATCCTGGATGTCCGCATTGCATTGCCCCATACTAAAAAACAAGCACATACTGTGATCAACAGATTGTGTACAGGATTGATCAACTGACCGTGAGGCACAATCGCACACGGCACAGATCAATCAATTAGTCATTATCAATTGCCCACTACTGCTAATTAGTCATTTTATTAATATCAATACCCCCCATGCCTGAAACTTGATTCATACTGCTGCAATCTGACAAGTTACCCCCCACCCACCGAAAACAAAGTAAGGAAATACGAGACTGGGAGACAGACAGGCAGTCCACACGCAGGGACGAGATTAGAGGAAAATGCACTTACATGTAAGAATCACCAGATAGTTGGAAGGCTTGTGAGGCCATGAGGTGGACTGCGTACTGTGGAGTGAGATTCAGGCATGTCAGGCGAGTGCGCCCTCTCCGCTGAGCGCGGCGCGGGCGGCACATTCCGGAAAGACCATCAGTGGACGACGAGTCCGGTCCGTTGAGTGTTGAAGGGCTGATTGGGCTGGATGGCTTACTGGTATCAGATTGGCTTAGTGGTTCAGGCGGAACCCTAAGTGACAAAAATAAACTGGCTTGGACACTCATTCACTGTACACTAGAACATCAGGGATTCGTTTATTCCAACAAACATCTGATCATCATGACCATGGGAAAACCTACTCGCCTGGCTTATTTGGAAAACCATGGGAAAACATAACGAGAGAGGGCGCTCCTTTAAATGAGACAACTTTTACCTGAAAATAAAAACCGCCTCAAATGAGGGAACAGATCGACAGAGGGCGCTTTCTCGATCGTAGCTTGTAGGTGAGGACAGAAATAGTGTATTTCCCTCCCACAATGCGCAATCTCTGAGAGGAATATCAGTTATCCAGGTCCAAAACCAGGGGATAGCGCCCCCACTCGACTAATCTTACTTCAAACGTGGGTTCCGGCAACACACCCTTATTTCTCCCGCAAAGTACACACCAGGTAATAGTCGTCGAACTCCCAAGTTTACTCGTGACCAAGCGCAGCCACATGTGCATGGTTCCTGTCACAAGTACGTCAGTCAATACCATCTACGTTATGCCGTTGGTGCACATTAACATTTTATAAATCAATGTGGTAGTTACCCTTGCATTATTGGTAATCAGTGATCGTGATTAGAAAGGCGGGAGGTTTAAATACTTCAAAATTGCTGCCTTTGCTTAGGAAAACGAGCAACACAAGGGTGCAGGCTTGCAGTTGGGCACATATGTTCGGTTCCCATAGAAGGGGTGCATTTAGTTTGTGTATTCGCGCAAGTGTAATGGTCGCCAGGCCTGTTAAATTATTCCAGCGGACACTAGCTTGAAAACCCGGTGTGTGAATAAACTGCCAAGAGTCTATCAAATGGTGATGTTTAATCGTCTCCTAGTCTAGTAAGAAAGTTTCCGGAAAATAATCAATGAAGTAGAAAATACCAATTTCACTCATTTTCACAATTTTGCCGGGTTTGGGGCATAACTTCAAATAACTTTGATGCCACACGAAAGACTATTAACACTTATTAACCAAAAGGTTTATTACTTATAGATAGAAAACAATTTTAAAATTCACTTCATTTTTGTCGTAATTTTCCGTATTTTTCACCTTACTTAGAGCCCAATTTTCACACTTTTGTCGATTTCCCCTCAGATCACGGGTCATACTGTTTTGAAGATTGACGAATCATGTGTATCAATCTAGAAGTCAAAGTCTCACCGTTAATAACGCCATACTTTTTTTCTAGGATTTTGCGTAACTCTCTACTCAAATTAAACTCTATGTGCAATATGTAAAAAAACCATAAAAATTACACTCAGTCTACATCATGAATGAGCTGATATTTCACACTTCACAAAGATTACAAATATTAGGTCGCAGGTGCCTATCGAGCAAGATGTTTTTGAAGACCAAGTTGTGAAATAAAGGTTTTATGTTGTCACAAACCTGAAAATCCGAACAATTTCTAACAAAGTTTGTTTCTTAACTGAATGTCTTTGGCACAAAAGGGAGGGCGGTCAGTCTGTTTGAAATTTGTTGCAAAAATGTCTAATGAAAGAACAGTACCATAAAGAAGACAGGACAGCCACCTGATCGTTGTGGTAGTAAGGATTTCTCTACAGATAAAAACAAGTGGATATTCATTTTTAGAAAAGATCTTCCATATTTCCACGGCCCAGACATGAAAATTTCATTGTTTTACCACAGTTTGCGCTCTAGCAAAAAATAAACTTCAGTACATGACCTGGCATAAAAGATTCTGACCTTAGAAAGGTATAAACTCAGTCTTTACTCTTGAAGAATCATGGTTTATTAGAAGTTACAGTACTACCTTTAAAAACATTGTTTACAAGTTGATGTCCTAGAGGATATTTGTACATAACATTGTGCTTAAGGATACTGGATATCTCACATACAGTAATTGTGACATTTGACCAGAGCCCCGTAGGAAGAACAACGGAGATTTAACTTGCTTTGGCAAGTGAAAAGAGTCTTTCTGACTGTAATGATCAAATGTCACTATTTTGGCAGTGTACAATTAGAGAAAGTTGTCTGATAGGGTTAAAACGCTGCGGGCTCTTAGGGACTAATTCTGACAGGTAATGTTGCGATAGTGCGTGAGCAGCCAAAAGACACCCCATTAATTAAGGGTGCGTTATTCTAAGATCCGTTTATTAAAAGTCAAGAGGCGTTTATAGCGTGAATATAATAACTGCGATTTCACCCAGTTCGACTTCACCTACAATATGGACCGCCCCTGTAATACCATCTCTCCAATATTCTTTGTCGTGTTTCTAAGGACAAATGCTGACTTCTTTAGCAAAGAGTGGAGCCAGGCCCATGGTCTCAGCAACTCAAGTTGGTTCGCAACCCAAAATGGAATCAAACGTGGAGCAGAAATTGAGTATTGTTACAATGATCCACTAAAATCTGCGCCAACATTCTGACGTAGGAACTCAGCATTACTTTTTTGTATGTATATACAGTCTGGTAGTAATTATTAATAGGGCGATTCGCAATAGTGCGCCACCATGAGTTTGCAACGTGTTGGCCAATCACGGCGCGCGAAATTTGTCGATTCTTTCCGAACGCGCATTGGGTCGACAAATTTCGCGCATTGTGATTGGCCAACGCGTTGCAATCTCTTGGTGGCACACTATTGTGAACGCCTGTATTCCAACCTGATAAAAATGCTACATGAAAAAAGGCTAAGAAGTTAATACTTTCATTCTGAGATCGTTGGTCGACCTGAAACGTTTAGTTGCGAGAAACCCACCTTTGGTCACTCCCTTGGAAAAGTTTATTGTCACAAGGAGAACATTTCTAACTTACATACAAACATATAAATATTGTAACAAAATCTTGAAAGGGTAGGCAGCAGGTTCAATGAGAGAAACAATAGAATGGTTTTGTTTGCAAAAAGAGGATTTCTAAGGGAACATTTGAACGACAACCACGAAAAAACAGTAGGCCAACACGCGATGAATGGTGATGGCGGCACTGTCTAATGCACACAGTGCAGCAGGAAATTGGAACAACTGGCGACTGGAACAATTGGGAAAGAAGCAAGGGTGCTAAACCTAAGGTATTAAGATTGGATAAAACTCGGTTGATGTTATAAAGAGTGTGTGAAGGAAAATCTTGTTCAAATATGCAGAGCGATTGCTGGCCCAGAGAGAAACAATTGTGCACGTTTCGTACTTATGTGTGTTTTTATTTTTTTATATATATTTCATTTATATCGGATAAAGGAGAAAACCACTGAATGTGGTGTAGCGCCTGAAGGAAGCACTATAGACCACACCGAGATAGGACAAATATACAAAGTCGTCCTTCTCCAGAACAACCACTGCACTGCCTGAGACTTGTTCCTCCTGCATTTTATCATTGTTACGGGCAGAGATAACAAAGTCGAAGTTTTTCCTTAGATGAATAATGAGGGGCCTGTAGTAATATGTGGCTGCTGAGAAAGAGAACACGTAGACGCCAGGCACATCGCAAAAAAATGTTCCAGTTCCAAAATTAAACCTGGTAACACCCACATACGTTATGGATGAACTGAAAGGCAAACGGGCGTTTTCATTTTGTGAAACATATGAACTGGTTAGCATGTACATAGTGAATGCCACCTGGTGGGCGGAGTCAACTGGAGTCTTCCCCGGCTTGTCCTTGTGCTCTTTGTCTCCTCCTTCCCAGGTGGCTTCATCTAAGCCAATTTGACCTCTGGGACCTACCTTAGCAGGCAGGTCCATTTTGTTGTTTCCTTTGGTGCAATTGTTTCGTAGGGTTCTCATCTCACCATTCTCACCCTTGGCCCAAG